GACAGGCCCAAACGATTCACGCGATTCCGCACCTGTTGACGAAATTGTGCTCCGGGAAGGATCTGGGCGCCGCCTGGGCATCCCCGGAACTCTGAGCTCCCAGATGTCGCGCGCGACGTGGTCCAGCCCGTATCGCCGGAGACATCCTCGTGGAGCGGGGCTCCGAGGTGCTGCGCGCGGGGTGGCCTGGCGCGTCCCGCCCGAGGCATCCTCGCAACTCCAGGCCCCTTGGAGTTGTGCGCGGGGTGGTCCAGCCCGTTTCGCCCGAGACATCCTCGCAACTTCTGGGCTCTCAGAACATGTGCGCGAGGTGGCCTGGCGCGCTCCGCCTGACGCATCCTCGCAACTGGGCTCCGAGATGCCGCGCCAGAGGTGGTCTGGCCCGTTTCACCCGAAACACCCTCGCACGTCTGGGCCTCGATGGGGGGTGGGGAGAAGAGCGAGGAGGGGTCAGCGGAGGAGGAGGAGGAGGAGGGGGGAGGAGGAGGAGAGGAGGAGGATGAGGAGGAGGAGGAGGAGGAGGAGGGGAGGAGGGAGGAGGAGGAGGAGAGGAGGAGGAGGGAGGAGGAGGGAGGAGGAGGAGGAGGAGGAGGAGGAGGAGGAGGAGGAGGAGGAGGAGGAGGAGGAGGAGAGGGAGGAGAAGGAGGGGAGGAGGAGGAAGAGGAGGAGGCGGAGGCGGAGGCGGAGGCGGAGGCGGAGGCGGAGGCGGAGGAGGAGGAGGAGGAGGAGGAGGAGGAGGAGGAGGAGGAGGAGGAGGAGGAGGAGGAGGAGGAGGGGTCAGACCCACACGAATCGTTTGATTCCATTTCTGTTGTCGGACTGTGCTCTGGCAGAGGTCTGGGCGCCCCTGGCCCGACGGAGGAGGCAGCTGGCTGGCGCCGAGGCGCGAGCACGATTCCTTGGTAAATTGCAAGGGCTGATCAGGGGGGCGGCATGCTGGAACAAGTCGTGGAGATGCCTCAAGCGAGAGCACGGCGAGCAGGGAGGAGGCAGGATGGGGGAGGAGAGAGGGAGGAGGTAGCTGGCTGGCGCCGAGGCGCGAGTACGCTGGAGCAAATCGTGGCGATGCCTCGACTAGAGCGCGGCGAGCAGGGAGGAGGCAGGATCGGGAAAGGAGGAAGAACGAGCTCCGAGATGCTGCGCGAGATGCGTAACGAAGGGTGGAAACGGGACCAGGCTCAAACGTTACCTGGTTGATGGAACATGCCAAATCATCCCTGACATGGCGGAGGAAACGGGGATTGAGGAGGGATGATGATGATGATGATGATGATGATGATGATGATGATGATGATGATGATGATGATGATGATGATGATGATGATGATGATGATGATGATGATGATGATGGTGATGATGATGATGATGATGATGATGATGATGATGATGATGATGATGATGATGAGATGACGAGGAGGAGGAGGAGAAGGAGGAGGAGGAGAGGAGGAGGAGGAGGAGGAGGAGGAAGAGGAGGAGGAGGAGGAGGAGGAGGAGGAGGAGGAGGAGGAGGAGGAGCAGGAGGGAGGAATAGGAGGAGGAGGAGGAGGAGGAGGAGGAGGAGGAGGAGGAGGAAGGACGAGGAAGAGGGCCGAGGAAGAGGAGGAGGAGGAGGAGGAGGAAGAGGAGGAAGAGGAGGAAGAGGAGGAGGAGGAGGACCGGAAAGGAAGATCAGGAGGAGGAGGATGAGAAGGAGGAACAAGGACTTCCAGGACCAGGAGGAGTGGGTGAGCAGTGGGAGGAGGAAGAGGAGGAGGATGAGGAGGCGGAGGAGGAGGAGGAAGAGGAGGAGGAGGAGGAGGACTGCGAGGACGAGGAGGAGGAGGAAGACCATTCCGAGGCGGCGGAGGAGGTGGAGGAGGAAGGGGAGGAGGAGGAGGAGGAGGAGGAGGAGGAGGAGGAGGAGCAGGAGGAGGAAGATGGAGAGGAGGCGGAAGAGATGGAGGAGGTGGAGAAGGAGGAGGAGGAGGAGGAGGGGGAGGCGGAGGGGGACTGCGAAGCAGAGGAGGGCGAGGAGCACCAGGAGGAGTACGAGGAACACACTGAGGAGCACGGCGAGCAGGAGGAGCAGGAGGAACCATACAAGGCCGAGGCCGACGACGAAGTGGAGGATGATGAGGAAGAGAAAGAACACGACGAGGAGGACTCGCACCAGGAGCACGATGATGATTTTGTATGAAGAGGAGGACTAGGATGAGTGAGATGAGGAAAGACAGGAGGAGGAAGAGGGGAAGAGGAGGAGGAGGAGGAGGAGGAGGAGGAGGAATGGGAGCAGGAGGAGGAGGAAGAGGAGAAGGAAGAGGAGAAAGAGGAGGAGGAGGGGGATGGGGAGTAGGACCAGGAGGGTCAGGATGGGGAGGAGGAGCAGGAAGAGGAGGATGAGGAGGAGGAGAAGGAGGAGGAGGAGGAGGAGTGGAGGAGGAGGAGCGGAAGAGGAGAGCAGGGGGATGAGGAGGATGAAGAGGTGTAGTGGAAGGGGGAGGGCGAGGGCGAGAAGGAGGAAGAGGAGGAGGAGGAGGAGGAGGAGGACGACGACGCCGACGACGATTACGGAAAGCTAGACGACGACGCCGAAGGCGCAGGCGGATCTGAAGCAGGAGAACGCGCGACCACTCTCAGGAGCCACACTGGCTCAAAAAGCGCTCGTTGGGGATATTTGACTCTGGCTATCGTTTTGCTGACGGCCCCCCAAAGGCCGAAAACGGCCATGACTCTCCAGTCGTGTTTTCCCCGCGTCCTAAGATGAGGTTTTTGTAATTAGTGTAGCGACTCCACCTTCGCATTCACTTACTTCACTCCTGCATTATCCTCCTCCTCCTCCCCTCCTCCTACTCCTCTTCCTCCTCTTCCTCCTCCTCCTCCTGCTCATCCCCGCATCTGTCGCAGACTCATATCCACTCTGATCCACTCAGAATCAAAACCACCCATACTCAGACTCACTCACCCAAAAACCCACTGATACTCAAACTCACTCGCACTCGGATCACTCATGCTCCGAGTCGCCGTTGCGATGCTGCCACCTTCAAACATTTACCGTCTTACTCATACCCGGACTCACTCATACCCAGACCCACTCACACTCAGGTATAGCAGGCGTGGCCCTTGGTCACCCCAAGGGGGAGCCACCAAGGGCGGGGACACTCCCTTCTTCGCGCCCCGGTTGTGCGGCTGCCTCAGGCGGTTCGCCTGCATCGGCCCTCCAGACCTCTCTCCTTTGGAGAACCAATGCTCGTGGCGATACAGCCGGCGTGTCACTTGGCCACCCCAAGGGGGAGCCGCCAGGGGTAGGGGCACTCCCCCGTTCAGAACCATGTGCGGGGGATGTCTCAGACGGTTTGCCTGTTTGATCGCCCAGACTCCTCTGCTTTCAGAGCAGGTTGTGAGGGTGTCTCAGCCGATCCGCGGGTATAAACACCCTAAGAGGTGGCCGCCACGGGGTGGGTTCATGGTCCCGTTCGCGCCCAGATTGCGGGGATGTCTCAAGAGGCTTGCTTGTTTGGGTGCCCAATCCTTCTGGACGCGGTGGCGGAGGGCCTCGCTGCTGCCGGCCTCACTCTTAACGATAGCAAGACGGTGGCATGGACGGCAGACCCGACTACGCAGCTCCCGCCGCGACCCGCCCCTTTCCGGAAACCGACTTTACGCTGCTTGGGGGCCGCTGCCCCCTGGGTGGACCGGGAAGACCCTCTCTCGCGCCTGGTGGTGCACGGACAAGCAGATGGCCACGAAGCAGTGCAGGCAGCTGACCGCTTGGTGGCGAGACTCCGCGAGCTTCGGTCGGCCTGGCTGGGCTCCCGCGAAAGCTTCCTCCTGCTACAGACTTACTGCAACGGATGCATCACCCACCTTTTGCGGGCCAACTACGAAGACGGGGGCTGGACCACGCTGATGGACGACGCCGTCGTCAGAGGGATAGAAGACCTACTCGGGTGCCCGCTACGCGCGGACCAAAGAGCGCAGTGTTTTCTCAGACTCGCGCACGGAGGACTGGGGCTGACTTCGGCAGCAGAGACAGCTGCGGCGGCTTACCTGGGAAGCTGGGCTCTGACGTTGAAAAGCGTGCGAGTGTGCCTGGACGCGGTCTCCTGGCAGAGCTTTAGAGCACGGTGCCCTGCTGTGGCCGACGCCATTGGGCGCGCAGAGACGAGACTACGGGCACAGGGCAGCGGAACCATCGACGCGGTGGATTGGGCCAGCTGCTGGGACGAACCGCTCGCTGGCCGGCAAGGGTACTGGACAGGGCTGCTTCGGACTCGAGCGCGCGCCGAACTGCTACGGACGCTGGGGGAAGACGACCGCGTTGACCTGCGCTCCGCTGGAGGCCCCGGAGCTGGTGGGTGGCTCGAAATTCCCGTAATCAGGGAGGGGGAGACGCCGGCGAAGGTCCCCAACGCCCACTTCCGCATGGCCCTAGCAGACCGCTTGCGCTGCGACCTCTGCGCCCCTGGAGCGCAGTGCCGGCTCCGCAAGCAGGACGGCACGGTCTGCGGCGCGCTGCTGGACAAGCGCGGGAGGCACGCGCTGAAGTGCCCCTGCGGCCCTTACAGAACAGGGAAACACGACCAGATGCGCGACTGGTGTGCGGCCTACCACCACAAGGTCACGGGGTACGTGGCGACCACGGAGCAGATGGTGTCAGCCTGGCACCGGACTAACCCGAGGACCGGGGAGTGGGAGGAGGCCAAGTTGGACGTCGCCACCCGCGATGCGGTGACGGGCGCCGCGGTCTACCTGGACGTGAGCATCGCCTGCGCTCACAGCGACGACCAGTCGCGCCAGCGGGCTCGCTCTGGCCGGGATGGCCTTGCCGCCCAAAGCCGCGAGGACGACAAGCGGCGGAGGTACCCACCTCACGGGGGCGACCTTGTCCCGGTCGTTTTCGAGACGGGCGGGCGCCCGGGAGATGCGGCGGTGGCCTACGTGCGGTCCCTGGCGCACGGCCTCGAGGGGGCGGCCCGCACCGAGGTGCTGAGGTACGCCTGGCAGCAGCTGAGCTGCCTGCTGCAGGTCGGCAACGCTGAGGCGCTGCTCGCGGCTATCCGCGCCTGAAGCCTGACTGCCAGGTAGGGGAGCCGCCTGCGCAGCAGCACCAGCACAACGGGCGACACCCCGGCGAGCGCTACGCCGACGCGAGACGACTCCTGCCGCCAGTACCACCGGCAGCGCCAGCAGCACCACCGCGGCAACCACGCTGCAGCCAGGGAACACCAGTAGCAGCACCGCCGCGGCAAGCCATGCGACCTCGACCAGCACGACGACGACGGCACCTACCAGGGCGACAACTTGCGGCGACGACCACCGACCCTTCCACTCGACGACCGCCGACCCCCGTCTTCCGTTCCCCCTCCTGCCCTCCTCCCCTCCGGGCCGGCCGCCCTTGCTTCCTAGTGGCGCCCCCTAGTGGTCCTCCCTCTTCTCCTCCTCCTCCTCCTCCTCCTCCTCCTCCTCCTCCTCCTCCTCCTCCTCCTCCTCCTCCTCCTCCTGCTCTAGTGTCGTGTCGGCTTTGTAGTCCCCGCCCTAGGTGTAATTCATGCTGGTTCATTCAAAGCCCCCCACTGTGTCCCCACGGGCCCCCTTGGCGAAGGGGAAGGGGGGCCAACTCTGGCGCCCGTGGGTCTCTCCGGAGGAGGGGGGAGGGGGGAGTAAGAGTATACTCTCATAAGGAATAAGGGTAGGAGTAGGAGGAGGAGGAGGAGGAGGAGGAGGAGGACGAGGAGGAGGAGGAGGAGGAGGAGGAGGAGGAGGAGGAGACGTGGAGGAGGAGGAGACGTGGAGGAGGAGGAGGAGGAGGAGGAGGAGGAGGAGGAGGAGGAGGAGGAGGACGAGGAGGATGTCGTGGGCGAGGCGCTGGCTTCAGCACCCCAAGCAAAAGCCTCCATCGAGCAGGGTGTGAGGCTGTCTCGAGCGGGGCGCTGGCTGCGGCACCCCCAGGAGGAGCAGCCGGGGAGCAGAGCCTGAGGATGTGTCTCAACCGGGGCGCTGGCTTCAGCCCCCCAGAAGCAAGAGCCGCCAGGGGGCAGTGCACTCGCACGGTCGGTGCCAGATCGCGCGGACGTCTCGAGCGAGGCGCTCCCTTTGCACTTCAGGCTCCTGTCCATGCAAAGCTCCATGATCAGCTCGGTGTGGGGACAAATGGCGCCCGCCAGGGAGGAGCAGGGAGGACGCGGGAAGGCTTAGCAAGACGCAGGAGGGGGACAGAGGAGGAGGGAGGAAGAGAGGAGAAAAGGCAGAGGAGAGCGAGAGGGCCTTTTCTCCTCGCTCTCCTCTGCCTTTTCTCCTCCCTCTCCTCTACCTTTTCTCCCACGGCGAAGGCGGAGAGCAGGAGGCGCTACGGCGAGGAGAGAAAGGCAGAGGGGAGGGGGCCGCCGGGGAGGGGTGCGCTTGCCAGGGAGAGGGAGGGAGGGCGGAGGAGGATAGAGGACGAGGGGGAGGGAGGAGGAGGACGCAGGGGAAACGGGGAGGCCCGCCGCCAGGGAGGACGGGAGAGGACGGAGGGGGGAGGCGGACCCGGGAGGAGGGAACAGGCAGGAAGGAAGAGCAGGGAGGGGGTACGACGAGGAGGAAGAGGAAGGAGAGGGGAGGGACCTGCTCACCGTCTGTTCGTGACTTGTTTTCGTCGTCGTCGTCGTCGTCGTCGTCGTCGTCGTCGTCGTCGTCGTCGTCGTCGTCGTCGTCGATGTCCCTCATCGTAACCGCTGCCGTCGTCGTCGTCGTTGTCGTCGTACCCGTCGTCCATTTCGACTTGCTCTCACACCCAGACGCTCACAGCGGGACGTGCCAGGAGATGAGATTTACAACATGGGGGTCTCGGGGTCGAGTAACATTTTGCGACGCGAGCGTGGCTGGGTCTTCTTCTCCTTCTCCTTCTTCTTCTTTCTTCGGCAACCTGGCCGCTCCTCCAGTCCACCTCTGGGCCGACCTGGACATCCTGCAGCGCGTCCTCCAGCGGGCGGCTCAGCACGGGGGGGGCGCCCCGCTTCGGGCTCGCCCCCAGCAGCCAGGGCAGGAAGGTGCCGTACAGCAGGTGCGACCCGTTGTTCGGCAGCTTCCAGGGCACGGTGGAGTACAGCAGGCACCACCAGGCGTCGGACTGGACTTTTGCCGGCTCCAGGTTGTCGAGCACCATGCAAGTCTGGAACTTCAGCTTCGGGTAGCACGTGAGGCTTGCCTTGTGGAACTGCCTGCCGGTCCCCGTGTTGATGACCACCAGTCGGTACCGCTCGCCAGTCCTCTCCAGGACCAGGACTACGAACTGCTTCTCGAACTCGTCCTGTCCGACTTGCTCCACGACAGCACATGGGGCTATGATGAGCCTCCTGGTGGTCTCGACCGAACCTGGATGATGGGGCGCGACGTCCTCTTTCAGCTTCTTGCGCAGGGGCACCAGCGCTTTCACCATCCGCGCCGCCAAGCTAGGGTCTGGGCCATCGGCAACCCAAATCTTCTGAAACAGTTGGAAGAGCGCCTTGGACTCGCTCAGACCCGCCTGCAGGGTCGCAATCCCTGGCAGCATGTCGGGAAGACTGTGCAGACCTGTCTGCTTGCTCATCATCGGGCATGAATTCAGATGGCAGAACCGCGACCCGAGCTCGGTGATGAGGTGCCGGAAGATGTAGTAGCAATCCAATCCGCCACCGTGCCTTAGGCACGTGGGGGCGTGTTGGCATGCTTTCTGGCAGTCGTGAATGGGGGTTCTGTGACTCCTCGAACATCCCGCCCGCGTTCCGAACGCACCGTGCGACCCCCCCCCCCCGACTGAAGAGCCCGCCAAAGGAGCCCCCAAAGTCTCCAGGACCCTGCACCCCGAAGATGTGGTCAGCCCTTGGGAGAGGTCGACTTCTGCTTCCGCCGCCCTCCGCCAGCCTTCCGCCCGCGGAGCCGCCCTCGCTTTGCTCTTCCGCCGTCCCTCCGCCGCGGCAGAGGTGACCACTCCCTCGATCCTCGAGGGCACGGCCCTCTCCTGGCCATCGCTCGGACGTCCATTCCTTGTGTTTTTTTTCGGTTTCGTGCGTGGGTTTTTCGCCAAGTGATCAAGGATGCTCCTCGATGGTCCTCGCCGAAGGAAAAATGCACACGTCCGAGCGATGCCAAGTCTCTGGGGCACGCTTGAAAAATGGGCTGCGCGCTCCAGACAGGGCTGCACGCCCACGGCTCGGGCACCGCTGCCGGGCAGCGTGCCGAAGGCCCTCCGACGGGGGCGGCGACGGGCGGCCACGGGGCTTCGGTCGGGCACGCCCCCCTCTGCCGGACGAGGGCTCCCAAAGAGTCCAAAACAAATAGCCCGGGGACGACTTTGCTTCGTAGTTGTTGGGGGGAGGCATTGGTCGAGCAAGATTTCGTGGTTTGGGGGGGGGGGTCTTCTTGCTGCGTTGGTGGGGAACCTGGCGGACACCCGGGCGGTGAGCCGAGGCGGCGCCGATCGGCGGCGGCGGGCGGCATTGTTTGGGCAATATTTTTTGTTTTGGGGGGGGGTCTTCTTGATTTCGCTGGTGAGGAACCTGGCAGACACCCGGGCGGCGAGCCGAGGCGACGCCGATCGGCGGCGGCGGGCGGCCACCGCGCGGGGACCGGCAGGCCCCTCTCCAGGGCCCCATAGGGCCCCCCCCTCCCATCCTCCCTACCCCTAGGAGGAAGAGGAGGAGGAGGAGGAGGGAGGAGGGAGGAGGGAGGAGGAGGAGGAGGGGGAGGAGGGGAGGAGGAGGAGGAGGAGGAGGAGGAGGAGGAGGAGGAGGAGGACAGGATGAGGAGGAGGAGGCTTGAATCTGGCTCGCTTCCGCGCCGTCGCCCGCCCCCCCCCCCCCCCCGCCCCCCCTGCCCCCGGAACAGGGTGAGGGGCCCGCGCTTGCTCTGAAGTCGTCCAGACCGCGCGGCGTGAGGCGCGACCAACTTCGCACCCTCGTTGTGGCCCTAGAAGCACCGATTGAGGGATTCGCTCTCCTCCTCCTCCTCCTCCTCCTCCTCCTCTCCTAGTCCTCGTCCTCCTCGTCCTCCTCGTCCTCCTCCTCCTCCTCCTCCTCCTCGTCCACTTTTTGCTTCCGAGGCTTTTCGGCGTAAGGTCGCCTCAGGACAGCTTCACGGAGCACCGGTACGTCCCCAAGGCAGCCCCAATAGCACCCCAAGCTTCACAAGCTCAAGGCTGCCCGATAACCCCCTGAGATGGCCCAAGAGGCCACGAGGGCTTCAAGATGGCCAGAAGAACCTCCCAGGCGACCCCAATACGGTTAGGCCGAGCTTTTTGGGGAGAGCTCTGCGGAACTATCGTACCCAAGATGGCCCCGGAACCTCCGACGGGCCCCCAACGGGTCGCCAAGACCCCGACAGGGCCTCCAGAGACCCCCAAGAGGCCCCGAAGAAGCCCCAAGACGCCTCCAGTGTGTCTTCAAGAGAGCGGGGGGAGGAGGGGAAGATGAGAACAAGGAGGAGAAGTGAAGAAGGAGAAGCAAAGACGAGAAAGAGGCTGTGAACAAGGAAGCGTCCAAAAGACCCGCGCCAGCGCAACACGCAACACTGAATTGGGTCTTGAGATAGACGTTTTTCTCGCCGCGCTGCTGCGCTGGAACGGTGGCGCGGTCTGCCGCAGGCAGCTGGATATCGACGCGGGCAACTCGAGGCCAGCAGTGGCGAGAAAAGGGTCCAGGAGGCTGGCCATGAAGGAGCCGTGCTGAAAGAGAGCCTCGGAGCGCTTCTTTCGGATGGTGCCCCGGTCACCAGGCAGCTTCTGGAGCATCATCTTGCCGCCGAGGCTAAACTTCGGCTTGCCCCACTTCGCCCGGCTGGAGTGCAGCTTCTGGAGCGCCGCGACTCCCACCGCCCTGCGGCACAACACCACGTACCTTTTTGTTGGGGGGGGGCACGGGAGAGCACGGGTCCGCCAGGAAACGGGCCCTGGGCTCCTGGGCTTCTTGCTCCTGGGTCCGCCTTCTCGCCCTGAGCCTCGAGGTCCAGGCGCTGCTCTTTGCTCGCACCCCGGGCGTCTCCGCTCTGCTTCGGGCCCCGGGGCCATGACAGACGGATCCAGCTCGAAACATGCCGCAGAAACATGGGGTCTGGGGCTCCGGTCATGATTTGTCGCGATGGCGCGGCTATTTCCGCAACGTCGGATCTCAAGGTGGGTCGTTATTTGACGGTACAGGGGCCCGCGGAGGGCCAGGAGCCTGGACACTGCCGAAAACCTCCAGGGCCCGTCGCTGCGTCTTGGGCCAACTAGAGACTCGATACTCCAGGCCCGTCTTCCCCAGGACCACAAGACCACCCCTCCAACAGACATCCGGATACATCCGGCTGCTCTAATTTTTTCGATGCGGGGAGAGGTCTGGACCACTTCCCCAGGACTGGTTTTCCGTCCTTGATAACCTTTTTTGGTCCCGAGGCACAGCGAGGAGCCCCGGAGGCCGAAAACGGCCCCAAACGGGCATGTCCCCCTACAGGCGGATTTTGGACGAAAATTAAAAAATACCATAAACATATTCAAAACATTTTCAAAAGTACTACAACAAATCGTCCCCCGACTATTTATCAAAACTATTTTTGAATATTTCTCCTGTAGATGGACACGCCCGACTTAAATCTCTGGGTTTCCTTCCTGGCGCGAGGCACCTCAGGTCCACCCTCTCGCGCATCTCGGCGGGGTCGTGGGAGGCCAGCAGCAGAAACCCGCCGCCGAGCCCGGCGATCCAGGGGGCCCCGCGCTCCTGTCCAGCACCGCCCTGTGCCTCCTCAGAAGAACGAGGACGACGACGGAAGAAAACATAGAAGCAGATGACTTCGTCGCCAGCGTCGTCTATCAATATCGACGATCAGAGCATCGTCATCGTCCTCGCCGTCTAGAGAAAGAAACTTCCGAAGGTCAGCGAAGACTTCTTGGATCTGCGCTGGGGCCCCTCCCTGGCACGTGGCGCGCGCCAGGGGGCTGCGCCGGAGGCGCCGCAGAAATCCGCGTGGGAGTTCGGAAGTGCATGCTTATGACACTTGCTTCTTCTTCGGCTCATTTCCAAAATGTGTTCCTGGTCCACGGTGTCCCCGGCTGTTCGCCCAATTTTGAAGCCCCTGGGGCTCTCTGGGGCTCGTGAGGGGTGCTCTGCAGGCCGCGGGTGCCTCCCTAGCCGGATCTATCTCGGGGGCACCTTGAGGCCAGGGACACCTCTGGCAACACCCCACCCTGAGGGGCCCTGATCACGAGTGGCCTCAAAGAGTGCATGTTCAGATGGAAGGTCCTCTCCGATCCTTAGGGCCCGATCTCGGGTCGGAGGAAGCGGGAATCAGCTCTCGTGGCTGACTTTCGCGCCGCCTCCGGGCGCCTTTAAGGTCTTGTCCCCAAAAACAAGTACCATCCGCCAGCTCTGGTTTCTGAAGAGACTCTCAACAGTTTCTATGTGCACTGTGCTCCGTGGGTCTCAGGCTTCCCACGTTTCGGAATGTCTGCGAGTGTCGGCGCGCCACCCTTGCAGACGTGCTGCAGCGGATTTGTGCATGGATTTCTGTCCATGCAAAACCCCGAAACGGCGAGTGAAAAACGAAGTGAATTCCGCGTGGATTGCTTGTGGTCTTCGTTCCTGGCCCCCCAAAAGGAAATGAACTCCGCACGGAATTCCCCTCGAAATCCGGAACGCAATTCTCCAGGGCACCTCGGGCCCGCCCTGTCGTTCTCCGATCGCAATCCGCTCTGCGATGTGGGCGCCATGGCGACCCCGATTTCGGATCCGCCATACTTTGGTGGGCTTCGCAAGTAGGGCGGAAATTTCCGCCCTGCTTGTTGAGCTCCTTTGATGCCGATTTCCGCCCTACTTTGCCGCCGCTGTTTTCGCCACACCTCTGCGGAAGGGTCCGCGCTATCTCTTCCTGAGGTGGAGACTTCCGCCATACTTTTCGCATCGTTTGGGGTGCATTCACGACACAATTCCAAGTCGGAAAGTCAGCCAAAGCACGGCGGATCCGAAGTCAGGGGAGTGTCCATACGTCCGAGGACACATCAAACACATATTCAATCCAGGGCGCCTCTCGGCGCCACTGCATCGAGGAACGCGCTCGGCGGCGGGGCCGACAGCAGCTGCCAGAAGGGCCGCCAGCGGGAGCCCAACGCCGCAGTCCGCTGCCCCACCCCTGAGATCCGACGCCGCGGAGAAAACACACACCATGGCGATGTGCTTTGTCCGCGATGCGTCGCGGAAGGACGCAAGATGGGGCCTGGGGCTCCGGTCGCAATCCTCCGCGATGCGTCGCGAAAGGTTGCGACCGGAGCCCTGGCCCGCATCTTTCGGTGGCACACGTTCCGAGCCACATCGACCTGGGACGGTCCCGGGGCCCGAGCCTGGGAGAGCAGGCGCCCGGTGGGGAAAAAAAAGATGCCCCGCCCGGATCTCGAGGCCGCTTCCCAATCCTGAGGGGCAACGAAGGGGGGGGCACTTGCGTCGACCTGGAAGCGGCGATACCTCGTCGACGGATCGGCGAGGAGCCACCGACGGTGCATCCGCGCCTTCCAGGGCGGGTGGGGGGCTGTCGGGCCC